TCTGGCCCGAAGTGTTTGGGGCGGGTTGTGGGTTGGGCTCATAACAACCCGCAACCCCACCCCACACCGCCCCAATCCAGCCCGAAAAAAGCAACCCGCAACATTATTTTTTAATTTTCGGCCCATTAGACCTCTGGCCCGAAGTGTTTGGGGCGGGTTGTGGGTTGGGCTCATAACAACCCGCAACCCCACCCCACACCGCCCCAATCCAGCCCGAAAAAAGCAACCCGCAACATTATTTTTTAATTTTCGGCCCATTAGACCTCTGGCCCGAAGTGTTTGGGGCGGGTTGTGGGTTGGGCTCATAACAACCCGCAACCCCACCCCACACCGCCCCAATCCAGCCCGAAAAAAGCAACCCGCAACATTATTTTTTAATTTTCGGCCCATTAGACCTCTGGCCCGAAGTGTTTGGGGCGGGTTGTGGGTTGGGCTCATAACAACCCGCAACCCCACCCCACACCGCCCCAATCCAGCCCGAAAAAAGCAACCCGCAACATTATTTTTTAATTTTCGGCCCATTAGACCTCTGGCCCGAAGTGTTTGGGGCGGGTTGTGGGTTGGGCTCATAACAACCCGCAACCCCACCCCACACCGCCCCAATCCAGCCCGAAAAAAGCAACCCGCAACATTATTTTTTAATTTTCGGCCCATTAGACCTCTGGCCCGAAGTGTTTGGGGCGGGTTGTGGGTTGGGCTCATAACAACCCGCAACCCCACCCCACACCGCCCCAATCCAGCCCGAAAAAAGCAACCCGCAACATTATTTTTTAATTTTCGGCCCATTAGACCTCTGGCCCGAAGTGTTTGGGGCGGGTTGTGGGTTGGGCTCATAACAACCCGCAACCCCACCCCACACCGCCCCAATCCAGCCCGAAAAAAGCAACCCGCAACATTATTTTTTAATTTTCGGCCCATTAGACCTCTGGCCCGAAGTGTTTGGGGCGGGTTGTGGGTTGGGCTCATAACAACCCGCAACCCCACCCCACACCGCCCCAATCCAGCCCGAAAAAAGCAACCCGCAACATTATTTTTTAATTTTCGGCCCATTAGACCTCTGGCCCGAAGTGTTTGGGGCGGGTTGTGGGTTGGGCTCATAACAACCCGCAACCCCACCCCACACCGCCCCAATCCAGCCCGAAAAAAGCAACCCGCAACATTATTTTTTAATTTTCGGCCCATTAGACCTCTGGCCCGAAGTGTTTGGGGCGGGTTGTGGGTTGGGCTCATAACAACCCGCAACCCCACCCCACACCGCCCCAATCCAGCCCGAAAAAAGCAACCCGCAACATTATTTTTTAATTTTCGGCCCATTAGACCTCTGGCCCGAAGTGTTTGGGGCGGGTTGTGGGTTGGGCTCATAACAACCCGCAACCCCACCCCACACCGCCCCAATCCAGCCCGAAAAAAGCAACCCGCAACATTATTTTTTAATTTTCGGCCCATTAGACCTCTGGCCCGAAGTGTTTGGGGCGGGTTGTGGGTTGGGCTCATAACAACCCGCAACCCCACCCCACACCGCCCCAATCCAGCCCGAAAAAAGCAACCCGCAACATTATTTTTTAATTTTCGGCCCATTAGACCTCTGGCCCGAAGTGTTTGGGGCGGGTTGTGGGTTGGGCTCATAACAACCCGCAACCCCACCCCACACCGCCCCAATCCAGCCCGAAAAAAGCAACCCGCAACATTATTTTTTAATTTTCGGCCCATTAGACCTCTGGCCCGAAGTGTTTGGGGCGGGTTGTGGGTTGGGCTCATAACAACCCGCAACCCCACCCCACACCGCCCCAATCCAGCCCGAAAAAAGCAACCCGCAACATTATTTTTTAATTTTCGGCCCATTAGACCTCTGGCCCGAAGTGTTTGGGGCGGGTTGTGGGTTGGGCTCATAACAACCCGCAACCCCACCCCACACCGCCCCAATCCAGCCCGAAAAAAGCAACCCGCAACATTATTTTTTAATTTTCGGCCCATTAGACCTCTGGCCCGAAGTGTTTGGGGCGGGTTGTGGGTTGGGCTCATAACAACCCGCAACCCCAACCCAACCCGAACATCGTTGGGGCCAAATATGTGCAACCCGCACCTTTTGGGGCGGGGAAAAAAAAATTATACCCCGCACCAACCCAACCCATGAACACCCCTAGATGGATGTTTATCGGAGGGAAATTGCACAATTAATCAAAGAATAAGCTGCACACCCACTTTTTGTGGGAGATGACGATGACGTTGCTAATTGCTATATGCTCCGCAATGCATTTTAGACTTCGAGAAGCTCCCCACTAAGATCAGGTTTAGTTAGAATTTTGTGATATGATTTTTTTGATCCATTAAACCTGTGATCTGATTTTGTGTGCTCGACGAGTTTTAATGTATTTTTTTTTTTTTTGTTAAAGGTGTTATTTCTGTGTAATAATAGTTTTTTTAATCTGGTTACTTGTGTAACAATTTTTATAATCCGGTAGATGATAAACACTAATCTACTAGATTACTCTTAGAAAACTTATTTTAGCGGCCGGAGACCAAGGTGACCTTCCATTTTTGCTAAAAAAGAAAAAGAGAAAAGAGACGAATACTCCTTTAGATTGCATGGATATTGATTTATGTCCATTATTTTTGATTAATACTCTATTAATCAAATATTATATATACTAGTTAAAATGGTATTAACTAATAGATCGGTAATACTGTTTTCAAACATCACTGCTTCATATTTAGGATAGCGAGTTCGTTATCTTGAAATTGCTTTCCATCTCCCCGTAGCAAACAACGATCAAGCAAAGTCAATGCAAGATATGAACTTGATTATGATAGTCAATTAGAAGTCATTTTGAGACGGAAAACAATTCATTATGAATATTAATCCTATAGTATAGGAAGACTTGGATTAACCATAGTTAATTATACAAACAATTATCGAGTTTTGATTCACCAAAATTTAACTTCTTGTTCTTCTTAACTTGGAACGTATTCGTAATCAAAGCAATTGTTGTGCAATTATGTCCTTTATTAGCATTTATTTTAAGTTATTAATTTATTATGTATCTACTTTGCAATAGGTGAGTGTAAATTCTTTGCGGCACTATTAACTCATGGTACATCAGTTGTCAATAATTTAATCCCAATAATTAACGAAACTGATTACTTATGTAAGGTAATATATTTGGTCAATATGGCAAAGTTAATTCATGGATCTCTTTACTTTTATAGCCGCAAGTGAACAGCTTTGTTTTCCATATCCTTGAAAATCTGGATGTTTTAAAAAATTAATTATCAAAACATCAACTCACCAAAATTGATCGCATTACTGCTTTTAACGTATTAAGGATAATATCTAGTTTGGAGTGTCAGCTTTTTCAGAAAGTTATTCCGCTATTGATGCAGGGTTTCGGCACATTGCTATACCAGTTTTTCACTATGACTTAACAAAGGTAAGCAAAACGAAACGTCTTTTTTAATTGTTGTTACACACTTTGTTAACCGATTACCAGCACAACCATCTGCAGAACATGTCAAAGCCCCTTGACTAATATTGACCGTAGATTGAATCATGTACGGTGACAAATGCATGGCTGAATGTTCCATCCGGCTGGATGGAATCAATGCCTCATATATATATATATATATGCATATATATTTGTTTGTTAGAGGTGGCACACTTGATGATTGATTAGTGTAATTGGAGATAAGCATGAACGATTTCCAACAATACATTCTTTTAGAGTTCGTACCCCTAAATTCATTGGCTCTAGGGTATGAGATACAAGTTGCGCAAATTAATTAACAATTTAGTAGTAATGGTCTTCAAAATTGACTAGTGATTAGAGCTTTCTTTGATTGCGACAACCCTCAACCAGGCATCAGTGCTGCAGTGGCACTAAAAATACTTCTAAGCAACTCACTCTCTCTCTCTCTCTCGCGTAAAAAAAAAAAAAAAAAAGAAAAAAAAAAGCACCTAACTTAGGGCTTGTTTGGTTCAGAAATTCAAACAATGTGGTTTAAACCTGATTTAAATTTTTAATTTAAAATTTTTGTAAAAGAAATATCGTAGCAGAATTTTTAAAAATCAAATTTTTGTGAAAGAAAACATCTTAGTAGAACCCAAAACTGTGATTCAAACTCCTTACCAAACAAGCCCTTAATAATATGGAAAAAAGAGATAAATACGCTTTTAAATTTTATGGATCTTGATTTTTACCCATACTCTTAATTAATACTCTTTTAATCAAATACTATATTAGATAAAAGGATGTTAATAAAGAGTAATTGATAAAAATCAAAATTCGTGCACTTCTAAGTGTAAGTTCAGTAATTTTCTCTAAAATATTTAATCACACAATTCATATAGGTATTTAGGACGGTTTATTTTTTATTTTTTATTTTTTTTATGGATACCCACACAATTTTATGCGTTTGACAAATATTTGATCTCTCAACTTTTTATTTTATTTTATTTTATGGAATCTCTCAACTTTTAATATTAGCAATTTTAAACTTTAAAATTTGTTGTAATGCTAGTCAAATTGAAAATAAAATTAAAATTTTATACCATTTCTTCCACATAAACGTTTAGTGAAATTAATTTTGATCTTTTGTATTGAATTGGTCCCCATATATGTGAAAAATGCTTTTGAAACTAGAGAACCCATAATTTTTTCCCTCAAACAGTTAACGATCTTACTTTCAAAAAAAATTTCGCTCATGATATGCATATTATTTAAGATGGCAAAAACACATTCTAAGTTCCGAGAAGGCATATAATATTCCATACAAAAAGAAAAAGCATATAATAGAATTATCCATGGAGAACATGTGCCGTCATAATGCACTACTGTATCTTGTAGTTGGTACGATGTACATACTTTTGTATGTTATATATATATATATATATATATCATGTGCAGTCTTTTGGCATAAATAAGTATTTTTGTGAGAAAGGCATATTGAATGTCTGATCAATCTCACGTAATTGCTGACACAAGTTTCCAACTGAGAAACACATCTCAATGGGATAGTAACTTAAAAGTAAAGAGGTTATTAAACCATGACTTCCAGCAACTTATTCCCTTCTGAGCATTTGGATCTGATGACTTCCTATCTGTCATGCGCATCTGCGGTTGCATCTTCTTCTTGCCAAGCATAAAGTTCCTCACTCCTTGAGATCCTATTTGTGCCGACGGGCTTAAAGCTAAAAACACGAAGAAAACAAAAGTAAGAGAAGGTATACAAATAGAAAACATATTAATTAAAGGAGAAAATTAACGAGCATTATTGAACTAATATTATCTTTCATGAAAACATTAGAAGCTGAAGTATCATTATAAATATCATCACTTCATGTTTAGAGAAATTAAAATTAAAATTCAGGTTCTTCGAAGGATTTGAAATCACTCATTATATAATATATGTTTACTTTTTTAAACAATGTCAATACCCTTTCTCAAAAACAAAACAAACAAAAAAAAAATGTCAATACCCCGTTTACAGTTTACACCATTATATTATCGGACTCATGGGACAAAATTAAGAAAAGAAAATGACCTAAGGTATTAAAAAAAAATCCCCCTTATCAGTGATTGTGAATGTAAAATCATATCATGTAAAAAATATAATAGTTCAACAAAATTTGAATAACAATCTAATCATTAAAGATATATTTTGATAGTAACCTATATCATAAAAAAGGAGTTGGTCTAAATACACATTTTATTTCAGGCTCTATTTATAAGTTACCTTTATATTTAGACACGTGTCATCTTAAATTTCTCTACCAAACACACAAAATATATCCATTTATTCGAAAGATAATATATTTAAAATCCGTCCGGCCACTCCCCTCTTTTAACACATATGTTCGTAGTCATACTCTTACCTTGCATCCACTATTTACAAAAACATGAAGTTTTTTCCTTACAAATCAAATCTTTTGTTGCTTTTTTCCATGATCTTTCTATATCTTGAAAAGCAAACTTTTACGTATTCAAACTAAATAACGCAATTGAAAATTTCATGCATATCATTTTTGAAGTACGATGAAAATTGCAAAACTCTATTATAGAAAAATATAATAGCGGAAGCAGTTTACTTAAAAAATTTTAAAAAAACAAATATCATAAATAAAAGTAAATATAATGTTATAGTACTCCGAAAATGACACATTTAAATTATACATACACAAAACCAAGATACGCAAAGAAGAAATAAACAAAAAAAATCTATATATTTTTCTTGGCCAATGAGAAGAAGTATAAAGACCAATACTAAATTAACTTAGCTCTCGTTACGGATATATTTCAATGGAGAACAATCAGGAATCAAGGGAAAAAAAAAAAAAAAACTGATATTGTTTTGCTTTACCCTTTATCTCATATTGACGTTATCAAGAAAATTTCCTGTTTGCGTGCATGTTTGGGATCAAAGCATTTCCCTTTCTCTCTTCTTAATCGTTTTCTTTGTCTCCTTTTTTTTAAAACATTTTTTTTTTCTTAAACATCGTCATTAGGGGTGAGCAAAACATGGTAGCAAACATGTTAATTATATGTTATGGAACAAAGATGACATTTATGTAAATTACAATTGCAGAAGGACTGCAAGAATGTGGATTGAATAGGCCCTAGGCAGGGTGGTATGGTATATATGTTTGGAATATAAATGGCTTGTTATCATGTGCGTTAAAGTGACACATGTGAAAAGAAAAGGTAATTTGTATATGAATAAAACTCTAAAATAGCGTATAGTACTCGTCATTGTAGAATTCGTTTAAGAAAGAATGGAAAAGTTTCGGGAAAAAGGTGAGTGGAAGTACCTTCAAATTCTGCGTTGGCGCAGTAGAGAAGGAAATCATTGGCGTGACTAACAAGAACAGGAAGCCTTCTTTGTCTTGCATATAGTTTGAGAGCAGTGTCTATGACAGAATCCACAACATCATCCTCGTTCACCACGAACCTCAACGGACCGGCGCATCCAAGAACGTTGATAGTTATCAAGAACTTGTTTTTCGGAGTACAACAATAACCGATGATGTTGTTCTTCTTTTGCTTATTCCGGGAGGCTAACATCAGCTTCTTCGACAAATTCGCCTTCGACGATAGCATTCTTTCTGTACTTGTTTTATCTATCATTACAAACTACAAATTAAGAGTATTAATATTGTTCGTTTAATGATATGAGATGAGGAGTGTTTGAGCAATGTGTATAAAGTGGAAAACAAAAAATATATATGTTACACATTCATTAGGCAGGTCAGCCAGCTTAAATAGAATAGAAACCTGCTTTTCATTTTATACTGCAAAATGCAAAGCAAGGCGCTTTCATTATAAATACCTAGGAAGAACAAATTTAGTGCACCCAAGCAAAAAAGCAGGGACTTTTAGGAAAAGATAAAAAATTGCTAAGTGGGTTTTGTTTACTAAAATTATGAGAAATATGTATTCTTTGATAGGATACGGAAAAAATCATACTAATAGGAGAGCTTTTTGTTGCCAGATCTTCTTAAGTTCCATTACATTGAGATAGTTTATGATATTGATATAATCTAATAGTTAAAAAACTGTATTTTAGTGGTGGGTACTTTTCCACATCCTACCAAATAATTATCCTATAAATAAACTATGAAGATTAAGTTCTAATTGATTACATACATTGCAGTAATTTATGGTATTCCATGAAAAATACCTTTGTCAGAAGGATATAATTTTAATCATTACATCAAGAACATAATAATATCGGAGAATTTTTTTTATGCACCCTACCACAAATTCTCTAATAAACTTAGTTTCTAAAGGCCATTTGTAATGGATGAAAGATTTTGTTCCAGCAGAAGCAATAAAAGTGAATTTCTATATATGTCCTTTCTGGTAAAATGCAAATTGAAATGAACTTAGTAATATTAAAAAAAATTCCATCGAAGGGTATTCTCAAAATTTTGCAAATACCTTTTCTAATTAGTGACGCAATATTTCTAATTCAGTAACCAAATGAATTTTTCATGATTTCTTACTAATTAAGATTCTCAAAATGTAAAAGAGTGTAAAGTCGACTGAGAAATGGTATAGATTGAGCATAAATTAACAATAGGAGGCTATACTGCAACAATCCAAAATGTAAATTTCCCAATATTCTATTTGCCCTACCATAGAAAATTTCCCTCAAATGTAAACTTAGAGCCTTTTTGGTAGGAGAGAAAAGCGGAAGGAATTACAGGATTTTTGTATTTTTTTTTTATTTTTTTTAATAAGGAGGGTCATTTTCGAATCTTTCTCAACGGCTTATGTTCTTGAACAAGACTTTCGGTGGAAAGAGGAGATGGTACCACCAATTTCTACCAACAATCAGTGCATGGATGAAGCCTACTACATGTTGGAAGACACTGTCGAGTTCGATCATTAGAATTGGAGTGGTTCAAGGAACAATCAAGGTTGGGAAGACAAATTCAACATTATGGAGCCATGGTATGACACTCAACCTCAAGAGCCGAATACTTTACTTGAGTTACAAGCTTTAGTTGCTCAACTAAGAATGAGGTCCAACACGCGGGAGAAACCATTTGAAACTGAGAGGCGTACGGCAACAATGGAACACTATGAAGATCATTGGATCCACTCTTACTATGGATGTTCCAATTAAATACATGCAAGATTGCCATCATGAAGAGCCGACACCAAGAGAAGAGTACTTGGAGAGTCTTGATGAAGACTCTCAAAGTGAGAAGAGAATCAAGACTTGGTAACTGAAGAAGAATCACAAGAAGCCTTTGATTCCCAACTGATAAGTGCGCAAAAATACACTTCAAACACTGTTAATATTGAATAAATGCTAAATTACCTAAGTTTTATTTAAATATTTCCATGATTTGTATTCTTAATATTTTAATTTGAAATATCTGTTACACATGTACGTCGCACAATATATAATGTCATACACTCTCCACCAATAATCGCAATGACTACTTACCAGTTACCATTTTTCGTATGAATAATCTCCATGTCGTAATACTTCTCTTGCATGCATTGGTTTTCCATACCACTTCACATTTTTCGTATGAATAATCTTCATGTTGTCATACTTCTCCTGAGATATATATCGATCGATACATAGTACTATAGAGGTCATCGGAGAACCTTCCGCTTCCCGCTTCCTTCATACACTTGGTAAGTAATGATAGGCAAGAGCTCATCATAGAAAAGTATTTTATGATTTAGATGTTTGTTTATTGTTAGCAACGTTTATCACACTTTATATGGGTACGGTTATATATATATATGTGTGTGTGTGTGTGTGTGTGTGCGTGTGTGTGAAAACGTGGTGACTTGTTGTAGGTTCAATGATCTCTAAATTACATGAAAACATCGATCCTATCATCACCTCCACTGGTTAGTTTATTACTATGATCTCCAAGCTAAATGCAATATTTTTTTAGGTAAATAGAGAGGCTGACACTCTTTAAGCAACTACTCAAACAAGTCCCCACTTTAATTTATTAAAATTAAAAAGGAAAACAAAGATTAAAAAAAGAAAGTTCATAACCCAATCACAAGGCAACCAAAAGGAAAAAAAAAAAAAGAAGCAACAACTACTGAATAATTGAGCGCTCATATATTCTATTTTTCTTTATTCAGCTCTTTCTTGATTCTCTTCTTTAATCCTTGGATTAACTGTCCTTTATATTGTGTGTGCATGAAAATTGTCTGAAGCTATCCGTTGTATATAGTAGAAAAACGTTTACATAAACTACTATAGAATGTCTTAAATTATAGATAAGTAACAATCAGCATCAAGGTACTCTAGCACTACACTCCAACATAGTTAACACTCACTAAAAAGAGCCACCCCACATCAAACTCCCCACTTTAATATTATTAATATATAAGAAAATACAAAGAAAAGAAAAGGTTCAAAAGTAGTGGAACAATAAATTAATTAGATGAATGATATATAGAGAAAACTAGCACGGCACTAATGTAAAGACGATACAAATATATCAAGAAACTGTGCAAAATATTGGGGAAATTGTCCCATATACATATATTGGTTTGTCTTTGTAGCTGCACTATGAACTTCTTTGTTTGTTTGTTCGATTTTTTTTATTATTTTTTTTAGCACTTGTTTGTGTTGCTCAGTGGATATCATGAACATGGCTGGGATTTGCCGTCTCTTTACTGATCAATTCCTGTCTCTCCCATTTATTTATTTATTTTTTTTTTAAAAAAGAAAACGGCAGTACTCAAACATCCATATGTAGCTCGCTTTGTTTAATTTGAGTTTACAAGCCATTTTGCCATATATATGTATACATATGTATTTGGTTAGTTCTAAATTCTTGACGTAATTAAACATTAATATTATAAGTAACGCAAAATAATAACTGTATAATTAACTGGGTTTTAAGTATGTGTACATGATTAATGCAGTGTGGAACGAACTACAGAAAGAAAACAAGGAGTTCTTTGAGGCCTACACACAATCTGAGAGCAAAACTACAACATCCGAGGAAGAGATCGACCAAATATTCCAGAAAATGACCATTTCTAAATCTCCTAAAGGTTCAAACGAATAAAATGCGATTTTTCTGGCCGGTGCCTAGCTATTTTATAAACTATATATATTTATAGATCAGTCTGACACCTAATTAAAAATTATCTTCTGCCTCCAGCCAAAACGAAAAAGATATATTATATATACTTAAATATATAGTAATTAGACTTTGACGGAAAAGAAAGATGGAATAGTTGTAAAATAAGTAATGTGTGTATCATATTTGTGTGCGCTTACGCTTGTATGTTTCTGTGCGTAGTACTATATATTCATAATTCGATTTTGTAATATATATCTCTAGTCGCTGATTGATTTGTTAAAATTTCATACGTTTTCAATGGTATCTTGCGCAACATTGCATGTTATATGTAGAAGATCTATATGACCTTTATAAGTGGCAAAATCCTCGGTTGTGACTAGCTTGATGCTCATACTAAGTAGGAAAACTATATAAGTCGTATCATTATTTGCTAATTAATATATTTGTTTTTAATTTTTTGTTCTTTTCCTTCAGGTTTAAGCCTCTTATAAGACAAACTTCAGTTTGGAGAACATCTAATTATATAAGCAATACTGAGCCTAAAGCATTCAAACCAGTGTAAAAGATAACTACTAGAAAAATGTTTTAATTGACGTAAAGTAAATCACTACGTAAAGAGTGACCAAGTATGAGGGACTTAAAAGAGCAAATCGGTAAAGGTTTCTCTTTCAAACGCAGGCTGCTAGCTAGTAGAAGAGAGACTGAAACGATCTTGTTAGGTGAGAGATATTTTTTTCTCAAAGGCATATTGTTTTAGCAAAACATAATAGTATTGAAATGTACGTAAATTAGGCAAAAGGTACGTAATAGGTAATTTAGAAAAGGAGGAAAAAAGAAGAAGAAAGAATAGGATCAATATTGGTTCTCTTTTTAGTATGTATTAATTATTTGCTAATAAAAAGTGGTTTTTGCATATAAATAAGAGCATATTAACCCAAAAATCTTTGGCCACACTTTTTTAAATTAGGTACATGGCCGGATGTTTTTAATTGCTTTCTGTAGTTTCTTAATTTGCCCTCATCTCCTTCTTTCTATTTCACGTTCTTCTGCACAACCCCC